ATTGCTGTGGGTCTGAGCCACATGTGGGCCAGAGTAGTAAGGATGGCAGGTTTCCTTCCCTACCTGATTTTAATGAACCAGATGACTCTTTTCATAACAATTGACTTGCTATATAGTTATCATCAGGCTGGCACTTTATTCCAGATTTTTCTGTTAAATTCAAATTTCATCATCTGCCATGCTGGGATTTGAACCCTGGTCCCCAGAGCATTAGCCTGCAACTCTGGATTACTAATCCGGCGACATTACCATCATGCCACTGCCTGCCCCAATTGCCCTGCGGAAGATGGTGGTGAGCCGCCATCTTGAACTGTTACAATCCATTTGGTGTAGGTACACCCACAATGCTGTTAGGGAGGGAATTCCAGGATTTTGACATAGAAACATTGAAGGAACGGCGGTATGTTTCCAAGTGAGCGGTTTGGAGGGAAGCATGAAGTTGGTGGTTTTCTCATGTTTCTGTTGCCCTCGTCCTTCTAGATGGTAGAGACGAGGGGTGTGGAAGGCACTGTGGAGCATGGGAAAGTTGCTGTTGATTGGCTGATAGGAAGAAATATGTTAGTACAAAGACAGCAATGCTCCATAATGTACGCCCGTGAATCTCAGGGGAGCTAGCGTGAGGCTTGGCTTGCCCCATTCCACCCAACTCTCCCCAAACCTGGTTGAACACTGAAACATCAGCTCAAATGTGGCAGATACAGCAGCATGGGGGAGTTTCACAATTGTGCCTGTGGATAGGGAACCCAAGCCGGATCCAATCCCCTCCACTGTGAGGGATCAAGGCCCACATGACAATAGGCACTAATGTTGTGCCAGTATTATCAGCATTATTGTGGCCCACAAACAGCAGAATGGACCAACACGATCAAAGTTGGTTAACAAACAGCAGCAAGGTGTTCTTGAACAAAATATTGCCCTTTTTTTAGCCCTCCTGTACTTTCCTCCACCCACCCCTCATTCAATAAGCTGCTCCTGAAACTCAATCAGGAAATCAGAATGATATCTTAAGCTGCCAGAGCACGAACATTTTTTAAATGCCAGTTAATTAAACTCAGGTATGAGTCAACAGTTTTCATTCCTACGGCAGTGTAGCTATGTGGGATGTTGCATAGTTCTGTCGCAATAATCCTTCTCTTCCTATCACTGAATCAAAGTCAACACCCTTCTGAGTATATCTTCCTTGTTCCTCCTCAATTCTACATACCCAACCCTGTAATGATTTCATTCTCAAAATGGTGCAATCTCTTAGCCCAGGATTTTAAAACTTAAACTCTAAGCACCTCCCCGCCACCACAACCAAACTTCCCCTTCAATCAGTAAACCCAAACTTGATAATAATAATTGTGGTAATATCAGCATTTTGTCAATTTTTGGTGCCACCCTGCAATTTTAAAGTTGATCTTTCAACTGGGATTCCCTTTGACGAACACATATAAATGACTCTGTATTGCAAAAATATTGCTCGAGGTTGACTAGTCCTCCCTCTATCCTCTCGTTGTAAAAGATGACATCCGGAGCAATGCAGCACCTCCGTCAGTACTGCACTGGGGAAGGGCGACAGACTGGACGATTAAAATTTCTGAAGTGGGAGGGGGGCAAACTCATGATCTTCTGAGTCCAGACTGAGACTTAAAGAAAAACGATAAACATTCCTAAAAGCATCAAAAATGGTTTAATTTAAAATCTAATCCAGCACTAAGGAAACAGAGGGATTATTGGAGGGCAGGAAAGGGGAATTGAGGTGAATCAGTCATGATCTTATTGAACGGCAGACTTGCTATGAGGGGCTGAATAGCCTATTCTTGTCCTAAATTCTTATGCTAAGGGTTTAGTAAAGCTGTAGAAGGTGGTAAAATTCAAAACATTTAGTAAATGTTTCAATCATTAAAAGGTTTCAGTGGAGGGAGCATCATGTTTGGATTCAGTATCTGTCTCAGTCCTTTGGGAGTAACCCCAATAAATTCTGCAGTTATCAGCTTACAAAGGGTCAATACATCATTGGTACAAAACCACGATTATTTAAACTGGAAGGTTATTTTATTTAAACTTATGTAAATAACAGCGCTAACAAAGCTAAAATAACAAAGCTAAGCAGCTAAAAGTCGTCATACAAATCAAACCACAAACCTTGTGTCGGAATTAGACACAAGGCCATCACTAATAAATTGACACAACATTGCAGCCCAACGTACACAAGCTGACTTTTTTTGTCATTATATTTCTCATCAGAAAGTCTCTGATTATTCCTGTAGATTTTTCCCTTTAAACACCAAAGAAAGCTCCAGTCAGTACTGTACCCCCGTGTTATACAGTGACAGACATGTCCCCGCCGGTACTGTACCCCAGTGTTATACAGTGACAGACCTGTCCCCGCCGGTACTGTACCCTAGTGTTATACAGTGACAGACCTGTCCCCGCCAGTACTGTACTCCAGTGTTATACAGCGACAGACCTGTCCCCACCAGTAGTGTACTCCAGTGTTATACAGCCATAATCCTGTCCCCACCAGTGCTGTACCCCAGTGTTATACAGCGACAGACCTGTCCCCACCAGTACTG